ATCGGTCTTATCAACACTCTCAGCGGGAGTCGAACCGCGACAGTGCATAATGGGAGCATGACACGCTAATCACTCAGCTCAACTCATATAATTGTGGGAAAATTTTTCTTCTACCAGTCCTTCATCACCTTAAACGAAATTGGGGGAATACATCTCATATTCCTTCGTTTTCTTCAGTAGAATTTAAAGGAGTGGCAGTGGATAATGTGTTTATTCACTTATTTTAATGTTGTTTTTAGCTAAAACTTGATTTGGGCTCGCTAGTACCAAAGCACAACGGATTTCTAGAAATTGGACATTATCGCAAATTTTAGAGTGCCTTTTTGCACTTCGGTATTCCCATCACTTTAGATGACACGCTTTAAGTTGGTACCTCTCTTTAACTTTGACGGCAGCTCTCCAACTGGAAGAGTGAGAAATACATGATGGACAATCAGATTGAGGCGCAAGTGGTGTGCCTACCAGAAAATCAGATTTATGAGTTGTGTTCACTCTATTTCGGTTAATATAATGAAGGAATTACTCACTAACGCAAAAAGTAATGTCGTCATTGCTATAGCAAATATAAGGTCGCTTCATCGCCAATCCCAACACAGAATGTGATATGGAAAATACCTTCTTTGAAATACACATCTTTCCTGTGACTCAATGTGTTGTGCTTACACTCTGCACTGTCATGGTTCGACTCTCGCTGGGGGTGTTGATAGGACCTTGGTGAGGTAGAAGCCGTAGTCCACTCTGTATGAGAACCCCTTTTCCTACTAATGTCATTGTAGGAAAATTTAACTACAATTCCTTCTTCGCCTTAAACAAAATAGGGTGGACACGACTCATAGGTGGTGTGGTAAAACAGCGAACAATGTGGGTAAATGAGACTATTGGTTAGACATAAGGTGGAGAAACCAAGAGAGTAGAGGGAACATGTGATGATGACAAAGAGGAGACGCTAGGAGGAAGAGAGTTGGAGAAGTGACGAGACGAAATTATCACACGAGTACCTTTCTTGTCATTATAACAACGTCCAACCATCTCTTAATAAACAAGTGTCGACTTTTGAGGCCGTCTGGCTTGATCTCCAAAGTCTTTTTCTCCGAGTGTCACTCCGTCAGGGCACACTTTCCTCTATTTTTCAACGAGCCTGAAAATTCGTTTGACTCTGTTGAATTGTTGCAATGACGTGCTAAGCTAGGCTGGTCATCAGCTTTCTCTTTCTGGTGTGAGGGCAAGTATATTGTGGTGACCAATATTTTGATAAAAAGATCAATTCTGCACTCCTCTTTCATTCTTAGCCCTGTTACACTTCAGCAAAGTTTTCGATTCTGGATGTATTATATTATTCATTTACATCTAATAAGTCCATAGTATAATGTTATTTCCACGATGACAATATAAATTCACGATTAGTAGACATGGTGTTTTGGTGGTCTTCTATTTGTGCTGCTTGTACCAATTGATGGCTCTTATAATGTTTTCTGTAGCCTCCTCAAATAAATTATTTCCGTTTGCAAATTTTAGCATCTTTTTGGTTAGTTTAGTAATAAGCCTGCTTTTCGGTTCTGTTGAATCGTTAACATTTTATCCACATTTGGCTGGAATTCTTCTGGTATCGGGGCTGAATTTCGTTAATCTTTCTTCGTTTAACCGTTAGTAAATGGAAGCTGCTTTCACCCTCGGATGCATAAGGTGATGAAGGACTGATGGTTAAATTTTGCCACAATGATATGCGTAGGCCTCACGTTTTCATTGCATTTCACACGGCCTTGATTCCCAAAAGCTTATGTGAAATTCACTTTAAACTTGATGCCTACGCATATCATTTTGGGAAAATTCAATCACTAGTCCTTCGTCAACTTATGCGACTTAAGGTCAAAACAGCTCTTATTCAAGAGTTACTGGTAGCTTCTAAACCCATTTAATAAGCACTTGAATTTTATTAGTACATGCAATTGTTAATTTTGCTTTAGTCGTTCAGGTTTTTGCCTTTTTTTCTTACCTATCGGTCTCAGAATAGATTATGCACTACTAGTCGTCTTTTGGAGTTGGATTATTTCAATATGAAGTAATATAATGTACCATCGGATGCAAACTCCATTGAATTCGCCAGGCCGTCAGATGGGTTTTTATGCTTCGGAGTCGCTCTCTTCGTATTGATAGTTCCATTCTTATACACTCCACTCTACTCTTGTTTTATGATATAAATTTTATTTTCACTCAGTCTACGCTTTTTCACCCACCCGCCAGTTTTATTTTAGATATTTTGAAATGATGCAGTATCATAGCAATCTTTTCCAATTTTGCACAGATGGTCTTGTGGAGTACAGCATGAGGCAAGGTGATCAAGTGAACTTAAACATCACTCTGGATCCGCCCGACTCACTCTCCAAGTCCGGCCCTCTCGAGGCTAATGTGGCTAAAGCATCAGCCTCCCTGTTGGCCTTTCTCGATGTAACCTACGATAGTCCATTGCACATGGAGACATTCGGCCCGACCGTTGACTCTTCGGCCAGAGGCGCCAACTTTAGTGGCCCGGCTGGCGCTAGTGTTGGTGCTGGCGAATTGACTGGCTTCAGCAGCGTCCATCAGACAGACTTCCATCCGGGCCAGGCTTTCGCATCAGCCTCGGACCGACTGACCGGAGGGCTTGGCCAACTGGTTGACAACCGGGCTTACATGGGCAATGTGACTAGAGATGCTCTGTTGCTGGGCGGTCACCATTTTGTTGGCTGGCAACGTCGAACCCTCGGGCTCGACCATGAAGTCGACATTGATTTTACCTTCGACACGTGTAAGTACTCATTCCTGTTATCTAATTTTGGTCTGCCTTCAGACGTGGGCTTTTCTTCACTAATTCAGAATTAAAAAGAATCGGTTGTAAAATCTCTTTTATTTCCAAGCATAGTTTTCCAGAGCATCAGCAATTTTGAATAAAAACTAGGTCGCTTGAGCTGATTTAAAGACCGACAATTCAATCTTCCCACTCAATTTCTCTATGCCACTACTTGGGAAATATGTCTTGACGACATTATTTAAGCTCAGGATGCCAGAATAAGGTATTACGGCAGTAAAAGCACGACGATTGCCAGGTTACTTTTCGCCCCTGTTCACATTTGTCACCTGTATCTTTGATTTCGGATCCAACCTTTGAGAGGTATTAAACAATGGATCCTTCATGTGTGTATTCACCCAATTTCGGTTAAGTTTCAATTTTCCCACAATGATTTGCGTTTAAACTTACGCTTCCATTGAATTTCACATAGCCTTGATCTTGGAACTCTAGTCATTAACGCAAGAATAAGTGACCATTGCGATTAATATTGCTAATATAACTTTGCTCTATCGACACTCCCAACACAAAATGTGGTATGGGAATATGCCTGGCCTTCCTGTAAATGTACATATGTCCTGCGAGCCAAGGGCACTTGTGGCATGGTGACGTAGTGGCTAAAATTTCGACATTATATGCCACATTGCCATGGTTTAAGTCTCGCTGGGGCTGCTGATAATAGTTAGGCGAGGTGGAAATTTCAGTCCGTCTTGGGTGAGAACAACTTCTGGGAGATAAGGATATGTGGGATTCACTGAAAAGATAAAGTCTAGTAACATCATTATGGGAAAATTCAGCTACGAGTCCCCTTATCACCTCAAACTAAATAGTGCGAATATACATATTAATGGTTTATTGATAGTCTCGAGAACCTACTTAGAAACAATAAAATGGATCCTTCGTTCGTTTCGGATATAAGTCAGTGCCGCTGGCAGAGAATTGGGCTCTAGCTTTGGTCTGTCATATGGCAGACAATTTCGTAATCAAATTACACTTTTGGACTTGACTTCAAGAAGGACATTTAGCCGAACTTGATTACAAGAACGATTTTTGATATATTTTACACTTATGCACAAATCGTTTTAGAGATTCTTGGGTCGACATTTTGTGAACTAACGAAAAACCCACCGAAAACGATCTAGCTTCTGCTCTATTCGCGTAAACAGGAACTTTTAAGTCATCATGGTTGTTTAAGGTGTTATAAACTCAATTTGTCTTCATAGCTTTTAAGTGATGAAGGACTGATAGTGAATTTTCCCACTATCAGATGAATAGGTTTCACGAAGGGTATTCATATCCAGAAAGGTCTGCAGCTTCGACCTCGCCTGCTCCCATTAGCATCCCCTAAAGGGATTGGATATGGGTGGTACAGTGTGTATTTTATATATGTATGTATATATACTTTTCCATCTCTTGTGTCTGCATATATAGTCATGCATAAATTGAGCCACTATGGCAACAGCTGGGGTTAGCTTCGTATCTCCCTTATGTTGCATTAAAAGTTTGCCAGAGATGCGAGTTCTAAGCTTATTTTTTTTCCGAAATTCTTGATCTTGTTTACTCAAGCCTTACAGGTTATTCACTTCTTGATAATGCATTTTGCAGATGCAAGACTGCATCCAAGTACTACATCATTTGAGGTCTTACAATATGGTTAGGTTAAGGCTTATTTACTAATACAATGAGGTTATTTTTCGATAAATTTGGGAGTACCTTTCAGTTAGTTCGAAGAGGCAACTGAAAGGTATTCGTAAGTTGGTCTTAGCGCAAGTGACTAGATTTGTGCGAATGAGTCCTTGGCTCATCATCCCACGACCCCGGAATCACATGAGACCACCAAGAAATAATAGTTAAATGAGTGATTGCAGTGGCCAATTTAATTCTTTTAGGATTTCATGGTTATGACGGAAATAACTTTAGTCTCAGGGATAGTCCAACACTGACCAGTCGATGCTCAGCGGTTCACCTGTTCAATCGCAATTGATAATAATATCTATAGTGATGCTGATGTCGATGTTGATGTTGCTGTTGATGATGCTATTATTAACACTGATGATGTCAGGGATTTTGTCTGCTGCTGCTGATGATGGCGATGATGAAGATAATAATGATAGTAATAACGAGGGCAACAAGTGATATTGCTTAGACGCAGACAAACTAAATGCTTTCATTAAGTGAGGTCGAAGCTGCACTGGATTACTGGATTACTGATACTTTCGGATTGAATCAACAATATGAGATTAAGTGACAAAACATCCTTTATGTATGATACATATTGGAGGTATCAACTATTCGTCCAATCGCTCTAGATTCACTAGCATTAGAGTGTCTGAATTATAGTAAAATTTTGCTAGCTAGGACATTTTAATCCCTAAAATTTTTCTTTTGAGCTCACATGCAGTCATCATTTATGGTTACTAAGTCAGTTAAGACCGTATGTCCTTCTTATATTAATTTGTAGGCAATTTCTGTGAGCATTATTTGTTGCCACTAAAAATCATCCAGACTCATGTACAAGACAAATGGGCGCCATGAAGACTGACAAATCACATGTTGTTGGATAATGAATACTGGTCGATTGACCACTCGTGATTAGCCTCAATGAGGTCTCTGCGTTGATTAATGATGGCCCCAAGTGGGAGAAAAATCGGTCTGCTTAGCTGGTCGGTAGGCCAGCCTTGAGGTATTGAGAGATGATATCCTGTTTGGGTGACCGAGAAAAGACGAACCCGCATGCCTAATCCGTCTTAAGCAGACGTCACTGCTTTCACGTATTGAATATGTATCCACTTTTTTCAATCCTCTGGACCTTCATGATGAGCCATAGATTGAGTTTATTAGGCATGGGCTCGATGCGTCGCAAGTTGCGCTCTCTTTTTGCTCTTTTCATGCTCCTGACTGGAGCAATTATCGTCGAATCCATCTCTTCCATCCTGCCTCGTCCAGCCATAAGTCAACTCACCACGTCCGTCCTGCAAGCGTGGGCCACATGAGCCCATTCGTAACTATCTCATTATCGGCAGCATTTTTGATTTCCCTTTCTACCTAATTGCCTGCGTAAGAAATGGAATATCCAGCTTTTCGTACCTTTAATAACAACCTCATCAGCCCAGATCGCTTAAGGTTATCTAAAGACTGACTGACTTACAATGTCGTCACTCGATCTTCAGAAGGTAATCTCATCCAGACTGCATTGTCTAGGTCTTATTGACATATTCAACGGAATTGTATGCTGTTGATTTCCAGCATCCATTTCAACATCACTTGAAATCACTTAGTCTGACTAGACATTTCTGAGATGTGCTCACCCTATTTCGTTTAAAGTGATGATGATGGTAATACCTTTTTGAAAACAATGCTGCCAAATTCAAAGAAAAAGTCATGTCTACTCATAACATTGTCGGAAAGTTCAACTACAAATCATTCATCATCATACATGAAATAGGATGAACACCGCTCATATATCTGATTTACTGGTAGTCTCGAAGAGCCTACTTACAAGGGAAAAATAAGTATTGCTGACTCATAAATTTCCGCATATAGAGTATTTTCATACTTTCATATTAGGCCGTGTGATACTCCTGTGCAAAGTGCATTCACGGCCTCCATGCTACCGAATTGTCTGGGTGACACACACGAGGCTATACAAGGAACATCTTCACTTTCAAAGGAGCTCAACCAATTGGAACGGAATGGCTGGTTAAGTCCTGACAAGTGCGAGTGGACTGGTGCCCACAGACCCTGAAGATGCACCTCTTTTCAACCTGCCCGACGATTTCCCAGGTCAAGTACAGGACAGTGGAGCATCTGGCGCCAGAGTGAAATTCTTCTCAAGTGTCTCAAATCAAGATGGTCACATTGTAATTATGCTAGCCGAGGGCTAGGTTGTATTGCGAAAAGCTTGTCTCACCAAACTAGAATTGGGATTAAAGTTGGTTTGCCCTGTGTGCATCAAAAGCTGTAGATTATGGAAGTTCTGTACATATTCTCATAGTTACCGTTACCAATTGCTAATGACTCATAGACGTTCATTCTATGATGGAACATAAGATACAATCCAGATGTTCTTTATGCCTCGCTTAACACTACATTATCCATCTCAATTATTAGCTTTCTTCGGCTTCTCTAGTCCAACTTTAATTTATTGTTCCTCATGCCGTGTCCCTTAAATGCATCCAAGCAACTGACTTGCCTTCCTTCCTACCTACCATCACTCACAAGCCTCTTCCTGCTCCAACAGCATAATTGGATTTGCTTACCACATTCGCTAGTCTCAGTCGGCAGAAGAGAGAGGCGCAGGAAATGGGCGAGGGAAGAGGAGCAGAACAAGTTGAGCTATGACCGGGTGAGGGATGGATGGTATAATAGTGCGTGACAAGTGGAAGAAAAGGAGCTGCGAAACTCGCAAAACAACACTATAAGCTCACCTTGATTCCATTGCTTCATAGGCTTGATTTCACCCTTTCTCGCTGATGATAATAATGCTGAGACGCATGATTGTTTTTGCTGTTGCTACACTTTTACATTCTTCAAGGCTGAATGGCATTTTTCCCTCATGACAACCCGCCAGATGGAAATCTTCAATCTGTTCCGAGCTGCCTTCGGTCGTGATTGCTTGTGGGCATGCGTTCGAGGCAAGCCAAAATATCCTCTCAACAGCTCTGTTTGATAGTCTAGCGCCAAATCAACACGTTCGCAAATTGGCGAACTTTTGCAATCCGGCCCCATTTACTTTCCCTACCAGGCCAGTTTGATTCGACCCTTTGCTCACGTCGTCTGCGTGACGGCAGTCGTGGCGGTTCGGTGACCTCTTTTCTTGCATCAGGTAGTGCTACCCCAGTCGGACGAGGTTGTGTGTAACATTTCGACTCATCTCACTTTGCGTTGGGTGTGTAGCAACCACTTGAGTCTATGTTGCTATATTCACTTTATCCACGAGGACTCGAAGAAGCGGTTCACTCACCTGTTTTGCTGGCTGCAAATTGAAGATGTCCTCTTTGCGATCGTCCTCAACCACAGACTCTCGACCGCGGCGAATCCAAAATAGACTTTCCATCTTGAGCACAACAGACTAATCGTTGGGCTCTTCTGAAAAGAGTGAGCACATCTCGAGACTACTGGATACTTCAATAATTTTATTATTAAAATAGTAATTAATGACAACTTTCATGAGCGTGATCCACTCCATTTATCTCATGATTT